GCTCATGGGCCCCCCCCCCCCCGGCCAAATTTTCCAAATTTTCCCGGCGCGTTTTCCGCGGGAAGCAGCGGGAAAAACGGCACCGGGAGAGCTCCTCCCGCTCCTTCCCGCTGGGAGCCGGGAGATGGGGACGGGGCGGGAAGGAGGGGAGGGGCTGGGATGGAATTCCCAGAGAGTTCCTGAGAATCCCGGGGAGTGTCCAAGGAAAGTTTGGAGCACCCCGGGATCGGGGTGGGAATGGGATGGGATTTTAAATCCGTGGATCCCATCCAAGCCATACCGGGATTCTGGGGTTGAGGATGCTCAGGATCCATCCCCAGGGATTTTTATGGAATTCTGGGATGGAAAAGGGAAGGGAGACCCTTCCTGGAGTCCCCAGTTCCCAGGGAATTCCCAAAATTCCTTCTCAAGGAGGAATCGGGGTGGGGATGGATCCAGTGCCAGGCTGGGAGAGCTGGGAATGGAGGGAATTCCCTGGAAAAGGGGAGCTTGGGATGGTGGGGTCTTGGGAAGGAATTCCCGGCTGGGCTGGAATTCCCAGAGAATCCCTGGATCCCTGGCAGTGTCCCTGTTGGACCACCATGGGATGTTGGGAAGTGTCCCTGGGATGAAATTGAAGGTCCATGGATCCCATCCCAAACCATTCCGGGATCCTGGGATCAAGGAAACTCTGGATCCATCCCGAGGGATTTTTATGGAATTTGGGGATGGAAAAGGGAAGGGAGACCCTTCCTGGACTCCCCAGTTCCCAGGGAAGCCCCTGCATCCCAAAATTCCTTCTCCAGGAGGAGTCGGGATGGGGCTGGATCCAGTGCCAGGCTGGGAGAGCTGGGAATGTTCACTGGGATCAGGGAAGGATCCAGGGAATGCTTGGAGCCTTTTCCAGAGGCTCCAGGAGAGCTGGGATTTGGGCAAGGGCTGGAGGGGCAGGAGGCAGGGAATGGCTTCCAGTGGGAAAGGGGAGCTTGGGATGGTGGGATCTTGGGAAGGAATTCCCGGCTGGGCTGGAATTCCCAGAGAAGCCCTGGCAGTGTCCCAGGACAGGGATCCCACCCGCTCCCAAATTTTGGGATTTTGCTTCTCCAGCCTCCCTGGCGCCGAGCTCCGGGGTTTTTTGGGAATTCCACGGATTCCGTGGAAGGCAGGCAGGGAACAGAACTCCCCGGGCTCAGCATTCCCGGGCCTCTCCCTCCTCCTCCTCCTCCTCCTCCGGGACGTGGGAGCGCCCGTTGCCATGGGGGTTGCCATGGAATTCCGATCCGCAGTTTCCATGGAAATCGCGGGAGCTTGGGAATGGGATGGGGGGGGAGGGGGACGAGGCCCTGCCGGGGCTCCCGGGATGGGAAAAAAAAAAATAATTCCAGGCCTTCCCGAGCTCTTCTTTCCCGAATCCTGCCGTTTTTCCTTTCTGAGATTCCAGGGAATTTCCTTTTCCAGGGAATTTCTCAGCCCCGGTGGGGCTGGGTTGGGGTCAAGGAGCGGGAATGTTCCAGGGGATCATTTATGGGAGATCCCAATGGATTTTGGGGTTTCCCAATCCTTTTGGGATCGCTCTGGGATCCAAGTGATTCCCTCCAGGAATGCTGAGATGGGAAAAGAAGGGAAAATCCGGGAATTTCGGCCTGATCCATCCCCCCCTCAATCCCTTTCCCAACCCCGATCCCAAAGGATGAGGGAAAATGGGATGATCCCGTGACCTGACCCCATCCACCCACCCTCATCCCAGGATTTTCCTGGGGAAAAGCGATAAAACTCATCCCAAGTTGGAATTATCCAAGTAAATCCTGGAATTGCGGCCTCGCCGCAGGTTTTGAGGGCCGGGAAGCCCCGAATTCCTTGGAATGCTGGAAAACAGGGGGTAGGGGGTGAGGGGAAAGGGTTGGAATTTTTTCCGGCTCCAGCTTTTTCCAGCCTGAAGATGGCAGCAAGCACCCGCGGCATTCCCGGCAGTGGGAACAGCTCCTTGCAACCCTCTGGAAGCGGCTCCAACTTCTCCCGCTCCCAAATCCCGGCCGGATCCTCCGGAGCTCGTCCCCCGATCCAACATTCCCCTTGGGAAAAAAAAGTGAGTAGATCCCTTTTATTTATTTTTAAAAATTTAATTTTTTATTTTTGGGGTTTTTTTTTCCGGGATTCCGGGAGCCGCGATTCCCAACGATGGGAGGAGGAGGAGGTGGGGGGGAAGGAGGATAAAAAAAAATAAAATAAAATAAATAAATCCCGGCGGATTTTGATTCCCAGCTCTCCGTGCCAATGGAAAAAGGGGAGAATTGGGAAGTGGAAGGGGAGGGAGGGGAGGGAGCAGCGGTTTCCCGGGAGCCGTTCCCGGAGCGACGGGAGAAGGGAGCATGGGATGGCTCAGCCGCCTCCTGAGCCAGCTCTCCTGTGAGTCCCCGGGAGCCCGCCGGGAATGGGGGTCGCGCTGGGAATTCGGGAATTCCAACCGGGAGGGGAATTTGAGCAGCGTTTTCCCACCCCACGGAGCGAGGGGTGATCCCGAAGTTGCGCGTGGGCGAGGCTGGGATCGGGATGAGGGGATGGGAAGGGGGAAAAGGAGGAGCGGGGTGGCTCCGCGAGGGTTCCCGGGGGGAATCTTTGCGGGATCCGGTGCCGGGGGGAGATTCCCGGCCCGGAGGATGCAGGATTCCGGCCGGAGCGTGGGAATTGCGCATCTCCGCGTGCGCCACGCGTGGGAGAGCTCGGGAACAGCCGGGGATGGGAATCTCGGGGGATCCGCGGGGACAGGGGCTCGCCGTGGACCCCGGGATTTCCACAGGATTCCGGGATTCGCTCAGGATTCCGGGATTCGCACAGCATCCCGGGATTCGCTCAGGATTCCGGGATTTGCACAGGATCCCCGGATTTGCCCGGGATTCACCCAGGATCCCAGGACTTGCTCAGGATCCCGGGATTCACACAGGAGCCCAGGATTTAGGGATTCACCCAGAATCCCAGGATTTGTCCAGGATCCCAGGATTCGCTCAGGATCCCGGGATTCGCACAGGATTCCGGGATTCAGCCAGGACCCCGGGATTCGCTCAGTATTCCGGGATTCGCACAGGATCCCGGGATTCACACAGGAGCCCAGGATTTGGGGATTCACCCAGGATCCCAGGACTTGCTCAGGATCCCGGGATTCACACAGGAGCCCGGGATTTAGGGATTCACCCAGAATCCCTGGATTTGTCCAGGATCCCAGGATTCGCTCAGGATTCCGGGATTCGCACAGCATCCCGGGATTTGCCAAGGACCCCAGGATTCACCCGTACAGGATTGCGGGATTCGCACAGGATTCCGGGATTCGCCAAGGACCCCGGGATTCGCACAGGATCCTGGGGTTTGCACAGGATCCCGGGATTCGCACAGGATCCCGGGATTCAGCCAGGATCCCTGGATTTGTCCAGGACCCCGGGATTCGCTCAGGATTCCGGGATTCGTGGGGAATTCCTGGAGTGGGAAGGATCCTCCGGGCCAGGGATGGGCTGGGAGAAGAATCCCGGCAGGGGCTGCAGCTCCACAGGAATTCCCACCTGGAATTTTGGGAATTCCCCTCTCGCTTCCCCGTTCCTACTGGGAATTCCCAGCTCATCCCGGGACTGCAGCCACCCCCAAACTGTGGGATCAGCGGCATTCCATTGCTCCCCTCCTCTTCCTGCTTTTCCTCCTGGCATTCCCAGCGATCCCAAAACCTCTCTGGGATTAGGATCGGGATCAGGATTGGAATTGGGATTGGGATTCCTCCTCGGTGCAGGATCCTCGGGGCAGAATTCCCAGGATCCCGGGGATCCCAGGAGTGGGAAGGATCCTCTGGGCCAGGAAAGGGGCCGCAGTCCCACAGGAATTCCCACCTAGAATTTCGGGAAGCGCTCACCCCCCTTCTCTTCCCCATTCCCACTGGGAATTCCCAGCGCATCCCGGGATGGGAGCTGTGGGATCAGGGGCATCCCATTGCTCCCCTTCCCATTTTTCCTCCTGGCATTCCCGTAATTCCAAACCCCTCTGCGGGATCGGGGGCCGGGGCTGGTCCTGCGGGCGGAATTCCCGGGATCGCGGGGATCCCGGGATCGGGAAGGTGCCGCCGCTTCCCGGGGAGTGGCGGCCCCGGGACCGCCTCCCGCTCCTTCCCCCTTCCTGCCCCGGCTCCTTCCGCGCCCCGGGAGCGGCTCCGGCTTTTCCCGGGATCCGGGGCGGGCTGGCGGGGATCCCCCCGCGCCGGGAGAGGAGCGGGAAGGATTCCCGGGAATCCGCGCCGGAGTTCCCGGCGGATTCCCAAAGCTCTGCCGGGACCCCGCCGTGCAGGTGAGGGGGATCCCGGAGTTTTCCTGCTTTCCCGACTTTTCCATCCCGGCTTCCTGGGAAGCGATTCCAGCGCTTCCCGCGGGATCCGATCCCACCGGGAGCCGGGAGCCGATCCCACCGGGAGCCGCCTGGACACGGGGATCCCGCGGGAAGGTGAGAGCCGCTTCCCAAATTCGGGAAACGCCGGGAAGAGCCGAGGGGATGGGAGCAGGAGTTGGGAAAGGCGCTCGCCGTCCTCTTCCCAACATTCCGGGAAAACCGGGATGAAGTTTGGAAGGTGGAAGCTCGGGAATTTGGGAATGTGAGAGCCGAGGATCGGGAGTTCCGTGGGATTTGCTGGAATCAAGGTTTTCCCGGCGCTGGGGCGGTTCTGGAAGCGGGAGTTGGGAATGTTGTGGATTTGCTGGGATTTGGTGCATCCAGGGATTCCGTGATTCCCTCGGGAATGATCCCACTGCCGGATCACTGGGATTGGGATCCCAGCCGGGGATCTCCTGGGGGTGTTGGAAGTGGCTGGGAATGTCCCAGGGAAAGGGAACATCCAGGGAATGTCTGAACAGGAATCGGGAAGGATTTGGGAATCTCGGAGGTGAGAAATCCCGGGAGCAGGATGCAAATCCCGGCTTCCAGAAAAATCCATATCCAGCCCCGAGCTTTTCCAAGGGCTGGGAATGCAGCGTCGGAATCCTTTGGCTTTTTCCTGGTGGATGGAGCTGAAAATCTGGGAATTTTCTGGGTGGGATATCCATGGTTCCTCCACCGAGGAAGGGGTAAAACCTGGGATAACCAGCGGGAAAATTCCCACAGGGATAAAAGGAGGTTTTCCCGTGGAAAATCCCACGGGTTTGGCTGCGTTTGCCCTTGGGATGGATCCTGGGAACGGCAGGGATGGATCCCAGGAAGGATCCCTGGAAAGATCCCAGGAAGGACAGGGATGGATCCTGGGATGGATCCCAGGAAGGACCGGGATGGATCCTGGGAAGGATCCCAGGAAGGATCCCTGGAAAGATCCCGGGAAGGACAGGGATGGATCCTGGGGTGGATCCCAGGAAGGATCCCGGGAGGGAGGGGGACGGATCCCGGGAAGGATCCTGGGAAGGATCCTGGAAAAGATGGGAATGGATCCTGGGAATGATTGAGATGGATCCTGGGAATGATTGAGATGGATCCTGGGAAGAATCCCAGGAAGGATCTTGGAAAGGGCAGGAATGGATCCTGGGAAGAGCAGGGATGGATCCTGGGAAGGATCCCAGGAAGGACAGGAATGGATCCTGGGAAGAGCTGGGATGGATCCCAGAAAGAGTGGGGATGGATCCTGGAAAGGACAGGGATGGATTCTGGGAAAGATCCTGGGAAGGGCAGGGTTGGATCCTGGGAAAGATCCTGGGAAGGGCAGGGTTGGATCCTGGGAAAGATAGTGGAAAACATCCAGAAAACATCCAGGAAGGGACAGGGATGGATCCTGGGAAAGAGGGGGGTGGATCCCAGGAAATATGGGCATGGATCCCAGGAAGGATCCCAGGAAGGATGGGAATGGATCCTGAGTGGGGCGGGGATTGATCCCAGGAAGGACCCCAGGAATGATTCCAGAAATTATAGAATGGATCCTTGGAATTCTCCTGGAAAGGATGGGAATGGATCCCGGGAAAGATCCCTGGAAGGCCTGGACTGGATCCTGGGAAGGATCCCGGGAAGGATCCCTGGAAGGACAGAGATGGATCCCAGGAATTATGGGGGTGGATCCCAGGAATGATCCCAGGAAGGATCCCCGGAAGGGCAGGGCTGGATCACAGGAATTATGGGGATGAATCCCAGGAATTATGGGGATGAATTCCAGGAAGGATTCCATGAAGGATCCCAGGAAGGATCCCAGGAAGGACTTGGATGGATCCTGGGAAGGACTGGGATCCCAGGAGGAGCAGGGATGGATCCCAGGAATTATGGGGATGAATCCCAGGAAGAATCTTGGGAAGGATCCCTGGAAGGATCCCAGGAAGGATCCCAGGAAGGATCCCGGCAAGGACGGGAACGCTGGGATCACGGGGAGGCCGTTTGAGGAAGCGGCAGAGAAAAGGGAACAGGAAGAGGCCGAGGCTCCCGACAGCCCCCGGGAAACCTCGGAAAGCTCCGGAGCTGGGGCCAAAAACGGCCCCAAAATCCCTTCCGTCGGAATCCCGGGATCCGATGGGGAAATCCTGGGATCTGACAGGAAGATCCCTGGATCTGAGGGAAAAATGCCAGGATCTGACAGGAAGATTCTGGAATCTGATGGGAAACTCCCAGGATCTGAGAGGAAAATGCTGGGATCTGACAGGAAAATCCTGGGATTTGATGGGAGAATCCTGGGATCTAATGGGGAAATCCCGGGATCTGATAGAAAAATCCCGGGATCTGATGGGGAAATCCTGGGATCTGACAGGAAAATCCCAGGATCTGACAGGAAAATCTTGGAATCTGATGGGAAAATCATGGAATCTGACAGGAAAATCCCAGGATATGATGGGAAAATCCCGGGATCTGGCAGGAAAAACCTGGGATGTAACGGGGAAAATCCTGGGATCTGACAGGAAGATTCTGGGATCTGATGGGAAAATCTCAGGATCTGACAGGAAAATCCTGAGATTTTATGGGAAAATCCTGGGATCTAATGGGAAAATGCTGAGATCTGATGGGAAAATCCCGGGATCTGACAGCGAAAATCCTGGGATCTGATGGGGAAATCCTGGGATCTGTTAGAAAAATCCCGGGATCCGGTGGGGAAATCTCAGCATCTGACAGGAAAATCCCAGGATCTGACAGGGAAAATGGGAATAATAGGAGGAAAATACTGAGATCTGATGGGAAAATCCAGGGATCTGACAGGGAAATCTTGGAATGTGATGGGAAAATCATGGACTCTGACAGGAAAATCCCAGGATATGACAGGAAAATCCTGGGATCTGGCAGGAGAATCCCGGCTGCCGCTTCCCGGGAAGGGCGGGAAGCAGCAGGAAGGAGCCTTGGATGGGTCTGGGATGGCTCCAGAGGGAAGGAAGTGCTGGAATTCCAGGATTCCAGGAAAATTGGGATATTTGGAGGGATGGAGT